ACATCTTGCAGGTTCTTAAAATTAGAAGGTGGACCCTCTGGACGGCAGCTAGGTCACACAGGCAGGACACTCAGGAAAGGAATTAGTGCCCTCTTAAAAAGACCCCCACTCTCCTGTCCGGATGACGGGTAAATATTGTGCTGTAGCAGGCAAAGCCACAACCTGCGATGCCAGCATTGTATACGGGCACTTGTCCCGGCTGCTCCACTTCTGACCCAGCTCCCTGCTAACGCACCCGGGAAGGCTGTAGAAGATAACCCAGGTGCTTGGAGCCCTGCACCCATGTGGGAGACCCGAATCAAGCTCAGGCTCCTGGCTTCTGCCCTGCCCAACCCTGGCTGTTGCAACCATTCTCTTTCAGTCTCTCAAAAACTGAACAAACTTACCTTTTGTTTTTATTCATTCTCCATTCCTTTGATTCTTACGCAAATCTTCGCAAAGATTAAATACATCTCTTGTCAGAACTAAAAAGCCAGGATCCTTTTTTTCTGAGGGGCCTAGGAGCCCCTCTTTTTAAGTGTCAACTCGGAAGAGGACAGCAGCGATTGTGTCGCGTACCTGTCCCCTGTCCCCTCTTCCAATCCCCCCTCCCCTGCAGTTTCTCCTCGGGAAGCAGCTGGGAGCTGCTAACCTACTTGTCCGGAGTTGTCTGATGTTAATTACTTTTCCCCCAGTAATAACTAGCCCAGAGGGCCCCAGGTTGCCAGGGTGAATTTAGAGTGCTGTGCTGTACCCTCACCTGCTGACTGACACCCCCCACATATGTGTGGACACCTGTACAGTGGGCTGCATCTGTAAGGCCACATCATGGAAGGGCCAAAAAAAAAAAAAGTTAAGTTTGGTGCAAAGAAAAATCAGAAGCCCATGCCTGCCAGAGGTCTTCAAATAGTCCATGCAAAATAGCTGTCATGAGAACAACTGGCAGAGAATCCAATTTGGAGCAGGGGCTACCCCAAATGAAGTCACTTTTTCATTTCACTTGTCTAAGCAAGGTGGGCCTCTTTCCATCCTTGTGACGTGCTCCCAGGTTGCACGTGACACACCCCAGGCTGGTTTCATGCACCATCCAGGACAGAATAAATGTTCTGTGTTTTGCACATTTATGGAGAGGGTTTTCCACACTGGCAAATTTCATTTTAGAAAATGTTTTTCTCTGCTGCACAAGGGCTGCCTCCCAAGGTACTGCAGGCGACAGTTTGGCAAATGTTTGGTCACGACAGACGGTGCGGGCCACCACCAGGCCTACAAGAACACCCTGGGTGTTTGTCACCGCATCACCCCATTTCCGCATCTCCCTGCGGAAGGGAGAGGGAGGGAGGCAATGGCACCGGAACAGCTCAGCCTGCACGTCCCAATCCCTTCCTGCCATAGAAATGTTTGTATCATGCTTATTTTACTTGTATTTGAAAGGCAGATTTTACGGAGAGAGGGGAGACTGTTACAGAAAGATCTTCCATACACTAGTTCACTTCCCACATGGCCATAATGGCCAGAGCTGAGTCCATCACAGTCAAGAGCTTCTTCCAGGTCTCCCACATACGTGCAGGGGACTCACAGACTTGAGCCACTCTCTATTGCTTTCCCAGTCCACAAGCAAGGAGCTAGATGGGAAGTGAAAAGCTGGGACACAGACTGGTGTCCATATAGGATGCTGGCATTGCACCCTAAAGTGCTTCTCCTTGCCGGTGCCCTGGTTTGGTGCAGGTCAGTGGCCCCTGGAGCCCCTGCTCCATGTAGGCAAGGTGGTTTTAATCTGTCTTCAACACCAGGGAGGTTGCAGAAGTGGGGACCCCGCCCCACACAGTTGCTTAGCGGCTGAAGTCCTTGCGTTGCATGTGCTGGGATCCCATATGGGCACTGGTTCTAATCCTGGCAGCCCTGCTTCCCATCCAGTTCCCTGCTTGTGGCCTGGAAAAGCAGTTGAGGACGGCCCAACACCTTGGGGCCCTGCACCCGTGTGGGAGACCTGGAAGTGGCTCTGGCCTCCTGACTTTGAATTGGCTCAGCTCCAGCTGTTGCAGTCACTTGGGGAGTGAACCAGCGAACAGACCATCTTCCTCTCTACCTTTGCTTCCTCTCCTCTCCTCCTCTCTCTCTCCTGTCTGACTTTACCATAAAAATAATTTTTTTTTAAAAAAAAAGTGGGGAGGGCCCGGCGCGATGGCGCAATGGTTAGGGTCCCCACCTTGCACGCCCGGGATCCCATATGGGTGCCAGTTCTATCCCTGCAGCCTCGCTTCCCATCCAGCTCCCTGCCTGTGGCCCAGGAAAGCAGTCGAGGACGGCCCAAAGCTTTGGGACCCTGCACCCGCGTGGGAGACCTGAAAGAGGCTCCTGGCTTTGGATTGGCATAGCATCGGCCGTTGTGCTCACTTGGGGAGTGAATCATCGGACGGAAGATCGTCTCTGTCTCTCCGCTCTGTATATCCGCCTTTCCAATAAAAATAAAATAAATCTTTAAAAAAAAAAGTGGGGATCCTGAGGTGCTCTCTAATCCAGGAACTTGAGTTGGTGACACTCCACAGGTCAGACATCAGCACATGACAAACCCCTCGGCCATGGACGATCTGGGCCTCTGCGACTTGTAGGGCTCACGTCGGAATCCCAGGAAGTCATCTCATCAGGTTTTGGGGTCTGGGAATACTTGTGGGTTGACAGAGGTGCAGAGGCACTGTCTTGGGGTTCAGGGAGACTTGGGGTGCAAGGGGATGACCTCCTCGTGCACAGTACTTGGTCTTAGGAGTCTGGGGTTGGAGCTCCGCCTCATCTCTTAATCATTGCCTTGGAGCCGTGACTTTGCTGAGAGCGTTCATGTCCTCCCCTGACATATACGTGTCCTACGCACTGCCACGGGGCTGTTGCAAGCTGGAGGAGGGTGTTTGGGAATCTCCACCACCTGGCACAACTCAGCGTCTGTCCCCACGGGGCCACCACGTCTTCTCGCAAAACAGGCTCAAGTGGATTGTTGCCACGGCTGGTATTGCTGGGTGGGATCCCAGCCCCATGGCACCCTCCCTGTGTGAGTCCTCAGAGGCCCCGAGGCCTGAGCCCCACCATCTGGGAGATTTCGAAGCTCATGTGTCCACCAGATGACGATGGAGGAATTCAAGGAGAAGTTTCCAGAAAGCTTTCTCCACACAGTCTAGACTGAGTTCCCACCCCTGGCCCGGTCCCCAGGAGAAAGTCACCGTCATCTGTCCTTACTCTGCCCCCCGGCTCAGCCAATCTTTACTGGCTCGCTCTCTCTCTCTCCCTGCATATTGACATTCTGTCCCCAGCACACTAACTACCGAGCCATCTGTCCCAGATCACGTTCTCTGCCTCTGCCCCTCACATGCACAGTTCCATCAGTGCCAAGCATCATTGAGCAGGTGCGGTGCCACGACAGCCCAGCACTCTGCCGTCTGTCTCAGAATGTGCCCTGCCGTTTCCAGGAGCCAGCCACTGGGCAGATACCCCAGTTCCAACCCTGGCCAGCGGCACAGCCTTCTCTGGGTTTGGATACTGGTGACTGTTGGTGTGCTTCTCACAAGGAGCTGGGTCTGGGAGGAGGACCAGGCAGGTGCACTCCACATGTGTCTTCTGGCTTGGACACCTGCTGGGGTGACCCCCTGGGGATGGGATCTTTTGAGCAGTTTTTCAGATGGGAGAGGAGAGGGCGGGGACCCCACGTCTTAATGGACAAGCCCGTGAAGATGATGAAGCACTTGGTCTTTGGCCTAACACTCAAGGCCATCTTCTCAACCACACACACACCCAGTGGTGGAGTTCCCTGTTCATCTCTTCCCACCCGGTAGTCTTCTGCGGCTTGAATTTTATCTATCTATTTACTTATTTTATTTGAAAGGCAAAAGTACAACGAGAGAGGGAGAGACAGAGAAAGAGATCTTCCATCTGCTGGATCACTCCCCAAATGGCTACAACAGCCAAGGTTAGGCCAGGTCAAAGCCAGGGACCTGCAGCTCCATCCAGGTCTCCCACATGGGATGCAGGATCCTATGCACTTGGGCCATCTCCTGTTGCTTTCCCAAGCACATCAGCAGGGAGCTGGAAGTAGAGCAATCGAGACTCAAACCCAGTGCTCACATGGGATACTGGCATCTCAGGCAACAGTTTAACCCATGGCACCACGTGACCATGGAACCCATGAAGCTCAAATTCTCAATTCAGTAACCTACAGGAGAGCTGACATTCACACACGTATATTTTATTTTTCATAAAGGTCAAGTGCCCATCCAGCCCATACAGTTATATACTCTGGAGGGAAAGCCCCCCCACTGCCACTGCCCCTGAGTTCCTGCGAGACCCCACGTTGGGCACTGAAACTGGAATGGAGCAGAGTTTCTTGCGAACTTAGGCTTGCCCCCTTGGCTTTTCCTTTGCCAGACGTGGACAGAACACTACCAAGGCTGCTCCAGCTCCCAGGGCAGTTCTTTGGTGTCTGAGCTGTCGGAGGAGGGCATTCCCCCTCCCGGAACACGGACACTGCTGTCTCCAGATGGGCTCCAGCAAGGGGCACAAGCCCTGGGAGGCCACGGGCAGGGTCCTTCAGGATAAACACCTGCACCCCTGGCCACCGCCTCTGTCAGCCTCCCCTTTTCTCTCCTCGGGGTCTAGGCGGCAGGCAACTTCTTTGGCTCTGCCTCCCCTCCTCCTCTCTCTCCCCCAGGTTGCGGGGGAGCTGGGGAGGGGTGTGGATTTCCTGCATAGAGTCCGCTGAACCTTCTTTCAGTCCAGGGTCACCAGGAAAACCCTGGGAAGAGATTTGCACTTGCCGTGAGAGATCCAGCGGTCAAGTTCATCTGGGATGATGGCAGATCAGCAACCATCTGCAACCACAGACAGGTAGGGCTCTACTCCTCCCCCGACAACAGAGTCCACCCTCACCCGATCTGGCTCCTCCCAGGTCCCTGCCAGCCACCGGTGGAGATGTCACCTCCCCACCCCACCTCCTCCCCCCACCACACGTGCCTCTTGCCCTTTCCTGTCCCCTGCAGCCGTTACTCTTCCTGGAGAAGGGGCTCACGGTCTCCCTCCTGCACTCGGTCGTCCTCTTCCTTCTCCATGCAGCCCACGGTGGCAGCCAGCCCAGCACCCACGCCACCCCCGACCACAGCTGCCCCAGTGGCCCCCACTGCGGCCCCAGCTGCCACCATCCCAGCCTCGGCAGCCAGCGCAGCGGCCGCCATGCCTGCACCCACCACACCCCCAGCCAAGCCCATGAGCCCAGCCCCGACGGCGCCCCCCACGGCGGCCAGGTGGCCACAGAAGCGCATGGTATAGGAGTCCATGAAGGCCTTGGCTGTGGTTTGCAGCTCGGCCTCCAGGGTGGCTAGGGTCTGCTCCCTGCCCTTGCACAGCAGGGCTGCCCCGTGCCGGGCCAGGACCACATCCTTCTGGGCAGACAGCAAGTTCCGCATGGTGTCTGGCAGGACACGGAGCGCTGAGAAGATGCGCTTGGTGGCCATGTCCTATGATTGCAGGAGTTAGAAGGAAGGAGACAGGAAGTTGCCCTCAGCAGGGGCAACCCGGGGGACCCTCCCCCACCCCCAGTGAGTGCACAGGCCCTGGGGGGCTCACCTGCTGCCTCACATACTCCTCAAACTCCTTCTTGGCAACCTCCACCCTCCTCAGGTCATGCAGCTGGGCGGCCATCTGTCCACGGGAAAGGCCAGGCTGCCTCCTTCCTTCCTGCCTCTTCACCACCGCTCCCAGGGCAAGGCCTTCCGCCACAGACCCCCGAATCACTCCCCTCCCACTGCCTCCCTGCTGTCGCCCGCCCCACGTTGCTCCGTACCTCGTCCGGGGAGCTGAACCCAGGCCCCGTCCTCCCCATCCAGCCCGAGAGGTTCTGCAGAAGACACCATCGCGGGGTCAGGGAGAGCTGGGGCCGGCCAGGCGCCTGGGGCCGCAGGGAGCTTTCACACCTTGATCTCCTGCGCCAGCTGCTGCCCCGTGAGCAGGCGTCGGTCCCCCCGGGCCACGGCGCGCCCCTCGCTCCAGTACCCCGGGCAGCGGCTCTTGGCATGCTGGGGGACTGCACCAAGCACGTCCAGCACGTAGGCTGTAAGCAGGTGGCCACAGGCGTCCTCGGCTCCTACGGGATAGGTGCACCCCCTACCCTGTGCTGGCACAGCTCTGGGGTGCGGATGGGGTGGGCTGGAGGGTGCCAGGCCAGGGTTGAGAGGGCTGTGGTCTCTGCTGTGGGCAATACTCACCACCTCCTGGGCTGCCACGGCCTTGGCCTCTATCCACCCAGCGCCGCCCCGGAGCTGGCAGGAGGTAGCAGCGGGCTCGCCGCCCTTGAAGCAGCTCCTGGACCTTGGGGTATCTGCCCACCAATTTCTAACAGACGGACGGAGTGGGCAGGGAGGTCTGAGCTGGATACCCAGGACCTATCCCTACACCCCACCTTCTGCCTCCCCGCCTTCTGCCATGGCACACCTGAAGGACATCATCAGCATGCACCTGCCCAGCCTTGCAGGGATGGGAGGAGCCTCGCACGAGGAGGTCCAGGTGCTGGAAGACATTAGGGTTCCGCTGCCCACGGCTGGGGATGGTTACAGGGTAGGAGCTGGCATGTGCAGCAGTGGGGGCCTCACCTGGACTGGCACCATCCCATAATGCTTGCCCATCACCTCGGCCACCTGGGTGAACATCTGCAGATGGAGCATGGGGAGGCAGGGCCAAGGCAGTTGGTGGGAACCAAGCTTGGGCTCTGCCACCTCAGGGTTCTCCCTGCCTCTGTCCCTGCAGGCAGCTCATGCTCACCCTCCACACCCAGACCCCGCCCACCCTGCGTCCTAGGACCCCCTGGCCACGGACCGGGAGCCCCTGACCATGCCTGCTTCAGCCCTGGTCATGGGCCTGCTCACCTCCAGCTGGTCCAAGTCAGTGTCCTTCAGCTCCTGGGAGGTGTTGAGGATCTGGGACAAGGAGAACAGAGGTGAGGTGTGGTGGGAGAGGGGGAACTACAGAGACACAAAGTAGTTCTGGGAAGACCCAGAAGCTGGGAGAGGTGCCCCCCCGCCCCCGCCCCGCTCTCCTCCTCCTCCTCCTGCTGGCCCCAAGCACGGCCAGCCTCCTGCAGGTCATCCTGTACTCCCTGCTTTGCCGGCGGGGAGACCCTCAGAGCTGCAGGGACCTCAGATACCAAGGGCACGGGAGCTCCTAGGAGGCAGCTGAGCCGAGCGATCTCCCCACCTGGTAAGAGCTCAGCATCGCTGTGAGGGCGCAGAGCTTGATCCTGGTCTCTCTGCTCAGCTCTGGGCTCATGGTGTCGCCCGTATCCACCAGGAACACAGCCACCTGTGGCGGGGACAAGGACGGGCGTCAGGCCCGCCTCGCTCCCACAGGGCCTGTCTCCCTGCAAAGGCCGGTCCGCTGCTCCACCTCCACTCTCCCCTCCCTCTGTCTCACTTCCTCTCAACTCGCAGCTACTCTCCCTTGCTCTAACTCTTGCTCTCTCTCCGCTTTGTTCTGTCTCTTTTGGTGTGTCCCCCCTGCCTTTTCTGTTTCTCTTTCTCGTTCTCTCTCTCTCTTCTCTCTCCATCTTGTTCTTAGTCCTCTCTGTGTGTCCCCCCACACACACACACATCACCATTGCTGTCTGTCATACTCTCTGTCTCTCTCTCTCTCTCTCTCTCTCTCTCTCTCGTTCTCTCTCCACCTTGCTCTGTCTCCTTTGGTGTGTCCCCACTCCTTTTCTCGCTCTCATTTTCTCTCTCTGCCCCCAACACTGCTCTCACTTGAGGAGTGCTTTTTCGCCCTTCACCTTCTTCCCCTCCTTTCCCAGCAAGAAGGGGCGACTCCACATCCAAATACCCCTGGTGAGGCCATTGTTGCTCCCAGAGCCGAAGCCCTGCAGGCAGCCTTCAGCTCCTCTGGGCCAGCCACCCTCCCCGGATTCCTGCAGGGACCAGAGGGACAGTGTCGGTCAGCCAGTCCAGCTGGTCCCTCCCCGCCAGGTCCCTCCCTTACCTCCCTGTCCCAGGCCAGCCTCCTGCCCGCGCTGCCCTCACCAGGCCAGGCAGACCCTGAAGCAAGCGGTTGAGGAGTGAGGACTTCCCTGAGCGCTGCTCCCCGAGGACGGCAAGGAGACACACGGGGGTGTCCCTGGCCAGGGGGTGCTTCAGGCAGCGGTTGATGGCACCCATCCTGAGGATCAGACCGCCCGAGGCGTTGACCCGGACCAGCAGCAGCGGTTCTGCACGCACAGCACACGTCTCCTGGGGGAGGGGAGGAAGGGAAGAGGGCACCCCGCCCTGAGCATCCCAAAGGGACCCTGACCCCCGCCCCACCACTGCCACCCCAGGGTGAGGCCTGGCGCACGCACCTGCAGCGCGGCAGGCAGTGGCCGCTGCGGCAGAAGCCTCATACGCTCGCCCAGGCCACGAAGGCCCTTCTTCTGCCGGCAGGTCTTACGGCACTCCGGGCAGCAGGGCGGCTCGCAGCCCGGGACACGGTGCGTGCTGAAGCACCGCAAGCAGAAATCGTGGCCACAGTCCAGCGAGACCGGCTCCCGCAGCCGCTCCAGGCAGATGGAGCAGGCAGGCAGCTCCCGGGGGGCCGCGGTGCGAGGCCCCAGGCCCAGCTCCAGCTTGGGGAAGGCCGCGTGGGACCTGGGAGTGAGGAGTGAGCAAGACAGTCCATGCGTGGGTGGCAGAGATTTGACATGGCTTGGGGGGTGGGGGTGGGCCCACTGGTGCCAGCTCAGTGATCTGCAGGGGGCTCCGAGGTGCAGCTATTCCCAGCCGGCCCAGCTCTGCCCCGGGTGGTACCACATCGCCAGGACACACCCTGACTCAGCTGCCTGCCAGCCACAGGAGCCCTGGACCAGCTCTCTGCTGTCTGGGCCCTCAACCTCCTCACTGTCCCGAAAGAGAAGTCATGGCCATGGAGGCAAGGTGGGGGTGCAGTGGCCCTTGGGGGGCGGCGCAGTGTCTGGCAGCAGTGGGCACCTGTGCTCCGGATGGAGTGCCCCTCTCCAGCTTTGGAGCCAGACCACCCCAGCGGCACTGGGAGGACAGAAAGGAGCAGCCTGTGATGGTGCTGGGCAGATGCCACCAGTTCTCGGAAGAGTCCTTCCACTGTGCCCCTCCACCTGCTCACGCCTGTGCCCGTCTTACCAGCCCGACAGACCCAGTCCTGGCGGGCACTCCCTCCCAAAGGATCCAGTCCATCCATCTCTCTGGTCCAGCTGACTATCTGGGCTGCAGGGCTGAGCTCCCGGATTCTGCAGTGCCCGAGCCCACCAGCCAGGGACCCCTGCACCAACCTCGGCCACTCACCAACTGTTGCTGCTGTTTCCCATGAAGCTCCGCTTTCTCTCCTTGATATGAGAGAGAGAAATCTAGAAGAGAATGCAGACTTCCATCTCTAGCTGGGTTTCAGGGTCCCCATCCTCCCTTCCTTCCCACACCCATCCCCCTTCCCAGGACTTGAGACTTGCCCGTTTGCCAAGCCGGTGACAAAAGGAAGTGACGGACAAGGTGGGCTTCGGCATGGGAGGCTTGGCGGGGAGAGGGTCCGGTGGGAGCGAGCGAGAGTGAAGAGGCAAGGGCTGCTTCTCCCAGAGCAGATGGATGAGCTGGGACTGCAAGTCAGGCAGGCAGTCGGGCAGGCAGGCGGAGGGTGGCGGGGGATGCTGGCTCCTCGTGAGACTCGCCAGAGAGAAACGTGCCGGTCGGTCGGTTGGGGAAGGGCCCAGGCTGCTGCTGGACTCACCCCAAGGGGAGGGGACAGGGCTGCGGGGACCAGAGTGCCGGGGGAGGGAGGGACGGAATCAGCTCAGAATCCCTGGCAGAGGCTGGGATGCAGGCAAGCTGAGGTGGTGAGTCGCCATGGAGACCGAGGGAAAGATGAGGACAGGCAGGGTGGGGGGGAAGGGGGGAGAGCCGTGGGGGTGCACTGCAGAGGCGGAGGGCGCCCTCCAGTGGCGCTGTGGCATAGGGGGGTGCAGGAGGGGCAGACCTGGGCACAGAGGGGCTGTGTGCACCTGCTGTCCCCAGGCTACAAGTGGCCCTGGAGGTCCTGCCCCTTCCATTAGCTGGTCCTTCTTCACCCACCAGCATCCCGCTGCCCCCAACTTCCCCCAGTGCCTCTCCTACCTGAAATGGTTCACGTGCTTCAGGCATGTGGACCACCTCCGATCTGCTATCTGTCCCTTGATTGAGCCCCTCCCATCTGCTCCTACCCCTGAACAAGGCTGACCCAGCTCTCCCTCCCCTCAGCCACTCAAACACCTCCCATGGCTCGCTACTGCCCTGGGATGGAAATCCAAACCACCTCTCCTGCCTGTGTGGGGCTGCACCTTCCTCCCACCACACCCTTCCCTGCCCGCTCTCTCCTCATCCCACATCCCTGGAGACTCATTGCCTTGTACTCCCTGGTGGATGTGACTCACACTCAGAGGATGCCCATTTGCGATGGGCTTGGTGGCTAGGACGATCTGGGTACTATTCTCAGCCGGGGACTCTGGCCATTTTGGATCTCTGAGCTCGGAGGGGCTCCTGGTCAGCTGGGCAGAGCCACCTGCCAGGCAGCGGGTGACTTGTGGGGGTGCTCGGATGCTTACGGGCATTGGAGTGAGTGGGTGGGAGCCCAGGTGGAGATCACCCCACAGCTGGCCAGCAGAGCTCTGAAGCTGGGGTCCCCTCTTCCTCCTCCCGTTCCTTCACAGTAGGCACTAGGGGGCCTCAGCAAAATCACAGAGGCAGGGTGGGTCTTTGGCTTAATAGTTAAGACTGCCACCATCGGGGCTGGCATTGTGGCAGAGCATGTTAAGCTACTGTCTGTGTCACCAACATCTCATATAAGTGCTGGTTCATGTCCCAGCTGCTCCTCTTCCAGTCCAGCTCCCTGCTGATGCACTTGGGGAAAGCAGCAGCAGCTGCCTCAAGTGCTCAGGCCCCTGTACCCACATGGAGGACCCAGAAGAAGCCCCAGTCCCTGGCTTTGATTGGCCAGCCCTGGTTGTGGTGACCATCTGGGAAGTGAACCAGTGGGTGAAAGATCTCTCTCGCCCTCTGTCTCCTCTCTCCAAGTAATTCTACCCTTCAAATAAAATGAATCAATTGTTAAAAAAAAAAAAATGGTGACCTCCCTCCCCACTCCCTGAGCACAGAAACTCAAGCACAGCCCTGAGGCCAGGCCTGGGCCTTCTGGCTGCTGAGCGGGCAGGTTAGTGAGTATGGCTGGAGAGCAGTGGGGAGGCCGAGGCCCCAGGTGGCAGGTGGAGGCCTGGGCAGGCACTGTGCAGCAGGGAGAGGCCCAGGCCCCTCCCTGGCCACACCTTGTGCTCCCTGGGGCCCCGCTCCTTTGCTTTCGGGGGCTGTGCTGGTATCTGGGGTCTGGGACACCAGGAGGCAGCTGTGAGGTGGTCAGAGTCCCCACAGGGTCCCACGAGTACATGATGGGCATCCTGTGATGGACATCCATGGAAACACTGGAGCCCGATGGGAAAGCAGTCTTCAAAAAACACTTCCGAGCTAAAAGTAACAGGTATGTGTTTCCACATCTGTCACCTTGCAAGATCTGTAAGGCCCTCAAATTCCTACAAGTGCCACTGACCCAACCAGTGTTTGCCAAGCTCCCACTAAGTGCTAAGCATAGTAGGGGGTCAGCCATGACCCCAAAAATAAAATAATAATATCATCATCATCATCATAGTAGGGCAGTGTCCAGACATCATCAAAACACCGTAAATCTTTTTCAAAAATCCTTATGGCAAAGAGCTCAGTGCCCTGGCGTGGCCCTGGTGTGTCTGATCTGACATGGATGGCAGCCTGGCAAAGATCAAAGGGCTTGCAACCTGCAAAGTTCTGGACTGCCCTCCTGGGAAGACACATCCGGAAAGGACCGGAAGCAGCTCCGTTCTCTGTTACTCCATTAAGGGGAGGCTACTGCCCTAATGGTGTCCCCTGGATGGCCCCCTGATCCTCCCCAGTGACTCACAGGACAGGAAGGGCCACACAGAAGCAGGCCTGGTCCTGCTGGGTGCTGCTGGGGGTCAGGGGCATCTTCAGGGTTAGATGAAAGAGAGGAAGGGTGTAGGTCGGAGTCGTGCAGAGGGAGTGGGCTTCAGGCCCCATGACTGCTGGCTCATCCCATTTCCTCACCTCTTTGTTCATCTCCAACAAAGCCGAGCCTGAATGAGGCGCACATAGGTTCCGGTGTGGGAGAACTGCCCACGTCAGGAAGGCAGACCCACTGAACAGGCAGCAATTCACTGAGTGGCCACCTGCAGGCTACCTGCAGTGCCTCCCACAGCCCGTGCGCCCCCTGCCGACACAGCGCTCTCTTGGCGTGTCTGCCTCCCAACCCAGGTAATGGCCCCATGCTGCCCACCTGCTCAGTCTCCTGGCCGGCATCCAGGAGCCAGCAATTCCCAGCACCAGCTCGCCCCCTCTGCTTCCTCTTCTTTCCTCCCTTCCTCAGACCAAGGTCCTGGGGGCCCAGCCCAAGCCACCGGCCTCCTCACTTCTTGACCTCTGCCCTCACCCATCCCCTGGCTTCCAGGCTGGGAGTGGGAAGGGTCCATTTTGGAATGATAGTGCTCTGGAGCTAAATATACAACCTGCTAGGCCAGGCTACTGGTAGGGAGGTGTCAGGACCTCCTGGTATAGGCAAGCTCTGGTTTCTCTCCCCGCACACAGACACACCACACACATCATACATGTTACACACAGACAGCAGGCATACACCGCACGCACAAATCACATACATGGACACGCAAACACACCACACACACATCAGACATCTCCTGTACACACCACATCCACACAGAGATGTCAGACACAGAGCACACGCATATAGACTTATCACACGCAGACCACAGAACACAGATATACCACACACATCAGACACACCACGCATATCACACACAGAGACCACACCACACACAAAAACATAAACACACCACATACATGTCACACATACACACCCATGCACATTAGACATATCATGCATACACACACATCAGACACTTGTCTCCCCCCTCCTCACACCCTTACACTGAAGCTGTCACCCAATGATCCCAGTTCACACTGTACGCACACACACAGTCACCACTCTGCCTTGCCTGGTAGAACCCACAGCATGCACACACACACTCAAACCTGCGTGCACGCACCGGGGCCCACTCACACAAGCGCCCCCTTCCTACCAGACACACAGACACACACTCCCAGCCTCCCCCCAGCCGATGCTGATCCCTGCCCTTCAAGCCAGGAGCCCACTCTCACCAATGCCCCGAAAGAGGGAGGTGCGATAGCACTCCCACTCCTCGGATGAGGAGACCGAAGGACAAAGAGGCTGAGCCGCACGTGTGCGGCCACAGCTCTGGATCCCAGAACAAGGAGACCCTCGCGCTGCATGCACTGTGGCGGAAAGCCACACAGGGAGAGCGTGGGAGCACAGCTCGTGTCACAGCATCCACGCACCCAGACAGGCAGCCTCCCTTCCTCTGCCGCAGCTCAACCTGCCCGTACAGCTCCCACCACCGCAGTGGCATGCACTGTGATGGCTTCTGCCCTCAGGCCAGGCCTCTGCCTCCCAGCCTCTGCCTGGCTCTCCCTAGCCTGGAAGGAGGGCACCTGCTACTGGGACACAGACAGGGAGCAGGTGTGGGAGACACAAACCTGGACCCAGGAGCTGCGTGTGCCATCTGTGCCCCATCACCCGAAAGCCGGGTGCCCTGACTCCAGCTCCTCCTCGCCCGCTCGCCCACATGCCTAGGTGCTCTCCCTGAACACAAGCAGTTCTCCAGCTGTGACCCAAGCCTGCACTCTCATTCCTCATCCTCTTTTTCCATGACATTCATGTGCCACCCCCACCACGGGTCACCCAGAGACCCTGGTCACTAGACAGGATAGGCTGGTGGGGGGAGTGGGGGAGACACTACAGGTGTCCCAGAGTCCTGCCCTGGAGCCAATGATTCACTCTCCCCCATCCCTCCCTCACTCTCTCCCTATTCCTGTCGTACCCCTCCGCCCCCGTTGTTTCCATTGTCTCCCTATCTGTCCACATAACCACTGGGTCACTCGCACACTCACGGTTCATCCATGTAACCACCTGTACCTCTCCCACCCATTCCCTCTGTATTTACCGTTCACACATCTCCCCATGCACACACATACACATCGTCATGCCATCTCTCCCCACACACGCATCCATCCCTCCCCCGACATTCATTCATCCTCATCTATACAGCAAACATGTTTTCCACCCACTACTCCTCACCATCACCCATTGTTGCAACTGGGCATCCAGGCACAGGTTCACTTACACATGTTCACAAATATGCACTGAGTGCTGTATGCCAGCTCCTCCCTGCCCCAGGCGCTGGGATGAGTGCCTCGCGTTTGAGGGGATGATGAGCTCCTTGTCTCATGGGCAAGAGTGGATGAAGCAAAGGCACTGTGCTTTAGCCTGGGCGCCTGGGAATGTTTCCTCTAGCCAGAGACCCGCCATGCAACAGTGCACAGTGACTGAAATCTGTGATACCCAGAAAGGTAGGGGTCCCAG